TCTAGGGTCTAGCTCCAGTTAAGTGCGTTTGTTTCAGTTTCTGGTGTTGGGGTCTGAGGCGAGTTCCGGTCCGTATGCGTGGTCGGCCATTGGTATTGCTGTCGAAATTGCATGTCATGTTCCCGGCCGTGAGAAGGGCTTTATCCTTTATTTCTTTGTGTTGTGTTTTGTGTTTGTGTCTTGTGGTGTTGTTAGTGTTTGATGTGTTTGTGAGTTGTGTTTTGTTTTATTCTCCTTTAGAGGAGCGTAGTATTCTCCTGTGGGGAGTTAGGGTCATTCTGCCGTGGGGAGTTAGTGTCATTCTCCTTTGGGAAGCTTTTATTTTTTCTTTTTTGTGTTTTAGTGTGTGTTGTGGCATCTAGGCTGGCCTCCTTGAGCAGCTCTTATTCCGGTTGTCAGCCGGTTGTAATTATGTGTTTTTGTTTAAAAACCTATCATTTCGAGAAAAAAAAAAGACTATATTCAATCGAAAAAATTATTTTGAAACTCATTTTGCCTTATATCAAACAAATATATTTTTTTTCCAATCACTCAAACTCAAAATAATATTCTAGAAGTATTCTCATTTACATTAACTTTTAAAAACTCAATATAACCAACATGTTTAACAACCTTACAAAATTGACATCAATTTATTTTATAGAGAATCTAAAAAGTAGATTCGCACTCCGGTTAGTGTTCAGTGAAAAAAATAAGAATAAATTTTAGCCATCAAATGAGACAATCCAACGTTTGAGCAAAAACTCAAATTATACCATCATTAAAGGTGTTTTGGACATTTTCATCTATCTACTAGTGGACCCCACTAGACCAACCAACAAATGGGTCCCACAACCCATCGTCCATCCATCTCACCCAACACACACGTTCACTACCAGCGGGCTCCACCCACCCCACCTCACATGCACGCACACACACACCACACACAACGCATAGCGTTGACACACCACCCGCCGGTAACCACTCCGTCGTCTTCTGTTGTCTTGCGCCAGTTGCCCGCCATACCTGCCTCAACCACCGCCCTCCTCAGCTGCCGAGCTAAAAGACTGTCGTTTTTTACTATGATCGGACCACCATAATTGACTACCACTTGACGCCGAACCTGTCCAAGGAGACAAACGATTAAGGACGACTCTAATCGATCAGTCGGAACCCTAGTCGATCAAGGACGACTCTAATCGCATACCAATCACAAATAACCCACCCGTGATTGGCCACAATAGGGACCGAACTAAAATATTTGGTTTGAAATTTTATATTTCGATCTGATTATTTGTTCTTACTTTTAAAATATCAGTTATTTCAGTTTGATGTTGACTTTATTTTCTAAAATAATCTAAACAAGCAAACAGGCCGAACTATACGAAAAAAAAAGGTTATATATATTTTTGTGTACTTTGAGGGCACGATAGTGTTAGACAAACTGCAGATCAGTAACTATCGGATTGCACAATAATTGCCGAAACCGACTGAACTAAAATATTTGGTTCCAAATTTTATATTTCGATTCGAGTATCTATTTTATTTTTAAAATATATGCTATTTCAGTTCAAAATCGACTTTATTTTTTAAAACAATTGAAATAATCAAATAGACCGAACTATATAAAAATTATTATTAATATTTTGAATACTTTAATGCAAATATATTATTTATTTTTAGCCAAAAATTGAAAAAAAAATAATAAATAAAACCATTGAAATATTAATTATGTTTTAATTAATTATAAATTTGACCCATGAACTAAATTGTAATATACCGAAATCTAAAAAATTACAACTGGATCTATGGGGTTTATCGAAATTTTTAGAAATAGTTTCCTCTGTTTCTCCTCCCCCGACCACCGCCAACTCCTATAATTTCAACCCAGGGCGGCAGGGACTTGTGATCGGGCGACCTAGAACCGTCGCCAAGCTTCTGGTTCGGGTTATGCAGGAGCTAGGAGGCTACCTCGGCCTCCGCCTTTCCTGTGTCGCATGCAGAGGAAGAGATTTGGGCGGCGACCATGTGATCTCGATGGGGACCAACTCGTGGTGGCGGGCGCGAGGGTCGGCAAAGTGGACGTCGATGTTGCAGGCACGGTGGAGTCAGCCTAGCAGGTGACGGCGGCAGAGGCCTGCTCGCAGGCCTAGCAGCTTTGATTTTTTTCAAGTAATTTAAACGATTGACAAGCATATGTTGAAACTTGAATATTGACCAATTTTGAGCATACCTATCACATATTCATGTAAAAAAATGAGTGAGTCCTATATTATAATCTATGTGTTTGAGAGTTTGTCATTTCAAGGCTAAGTTGATATTTGAGGCATATGGTCGTACGGTCGTTCGAATTCGACTCGACTGAATTGGGCATTTTGAGGCTCTTCTTATTTGAAACTGTATCCATGCTCGTGGATTGTTTTCTTCTCTTTTTGTTAGGGACGAACAAATGATTAAGTGTGGAGGAGTTGTTTGTCCCATTTTTGTTGTATTTTTCGCATTTATTTTGCCTCTAATTTCCTCTGTTTTAGGTCATTTCTTTGGCTTTTAGTTGTTTTTGTAGTTTATTGCATGTTTTGTTTTATTTTGAGTGTTTCCGTGTTTTTTCGTTCGTTTTCTGGTTTTCTCCGTTTTTCTTCTTGTTTTTGGTGTGCAGTTCGAAAGCTTCGAGAGGATAGGATTTCTGGAAAATATTGGCGGGGCAAGCATATTTGAATAGAAGAGTTCGTTGGCGACACGTAGGAAAAAACGAAACTTAATTTCGAATTCGGACGAGCTCAAACGAGCCAAATCCGTAAAGTCGCGCATAGCAGCCTGCACCCAGGCGCCGCGGCGTGTTCATCGTTGCGCCCAGTGCCGCGACCTAGACAGAGACCACGCCCAGGACACCCGCCGCGGCGCGGCAGCCCTCGCGACGCGGCACCTACGCGTCCCGACTTATTTTTCAACCCGTTTTTGCTCGATTTTTCGATCCTTATATATGGGGACTCGTTCCCAATCCTTAAAAAAACTCGAAACACTCCTTTCTCTTCTCCTTCCTTCCTTCATCTTCTTTATTTTTCTTCCTCTCTTAATCTTTTTCTTCCATTTTTCTTCTTCTTTTTATTATTTAGGAATTAAGCTTGTAATTCAGATTCAACTCTTGGATTGGATTGATTGTAAGTTTTTCATCTTGTTTAATTCATGAGAATGATTATTTGGGGTGAAATTCTTGATTGTGTTGAATTCATATTACGTAGCTAATTCTTATTGATAGGGATAGGGGATGATTGTTCTTGTTTAATTCGTATCTGTTGGGCTTGATTCGCTTGTTCTTGTGCGAGTTAATTTTATTAGGAATTGATGAGTTCTTGTTTGATTGATTGATATAATCGAAAAATGACACTCCGATCTTGCAATTGGAAACAGTTGAATGTTAATTTGTCGAGTTAGGGCTTTGTTGATTATAAATAATTAGTTGATTAAACACCTTCTAATTGAATTAGCAGCTTTTAGAACCGGAAGGGGAGAAGTCGTAAACCTAGGCTCGCATGAGGTAGATAATTTCGTAATTGAATAATCTATAGGTTCTTGATTGAAGTACGTGCTTATCGATAACTCGTCCCTTGTAATGAAAAGTTATTGGGATTGGGATAATTGGCCTATGTTGTATGCTCGAACTTGCTCGTCTATGTTCAATCCCTTGTTACGAAGAGTTATTGGGAGCGAACCACTATATGTTTAAGTGAGAACGTCAATATGGAACCGAATGATTAATTGCCCGACTTTGTTAGAACTTGAATAAATTATCCCCGATTCCCTAGCTTCTCCATCTTTGTTTCGTTTACATTTTTAGGTAGATTATTGTTTTTATATTATTTCTTAGTTGACAATTCATCCCACCATATCTGATTAGAGTGTTTAGGATTTATTTTGATTTTATGTGATATCAATACCAAAGCTGAATTTCGAACCACCTTCCTCGTGAGATCGACCCGGGGAACGAAGCTTTCGATTCGGTACTCGGTAGAAATAATAATTTGTGCTACAACAAATTTGAGTCACGAAAAGGATAAAAAAAAAGACAACAAATTCACCTCATTCAACAACGACACCATTTTCACCAATCATCACAAAACCAGTCAACAAAATACATTTCATGTACGGCTGACAAGAAAAAGGCTCAAAG